CTTTTTTCTCTCTCTCAATCTCACCTCTATCTATCTATCTATCTATCTATCTATCTATCTATCTATCTATCTATCTATTTATCTATCTATCTATCTATCTATCTATGTTCTCTCTTTCTCCGTGTAATCTATGTCTATGTGCAGTGTATTATTAAATCGAGGGGGAGTCAAAAAGTGACGTAAGTTGTTCGCTGTGTCGCACATTTTTTCATCAAATTTAATTAAATTCAGCTCACAAGTACTTCTTCGTGTACTTTTGAACGAAAATTGGTAAAATTCAAGTTTCTTTCATTTTGGCCCGAATGACGTCACATCAAAATGATTCCCCTCTTGGCGGTTTGTCAGAGGTAAAGAGCAGTGATTGAATTTTTTGTTTTAGAAGGAAAATCCACCGATAACATCCAAAAGAGACTTCAAAATGTTTACACGGACCAAGCTCTAGATTTTATCACTGATATAGGTGGGTTAGACGTTTGAGCAATGAGCCGGAAGAAGAGGAAGAAGTGTCTATATGTGAAGCGTGCTGACAAAATGAGTTACTTCTCGGATTCGAGCACTGTAAAAATAGATACATCACGCTTATAGGTGGCGTTTTTACAATTTATATGTATGAAATAATGAAAGGCATGTTATAGTCAAAGTATATGGCAACAATAGAAAATCTACAAATTTGACCCTAGTGTCGATTTTTGGCAAATATCTCCATTTATGGATTGTGAGAAGTAACTCATTTTGTCAGCACGCCTCACATATGCCTGTCGGACAAGCATCGTCCCGAGGAGTCAGACGGAAAAATCATGGCAAGTGTGTTTTTGGACGTCCATGGCGTTCTTCCCACACATTTTTCTTACCTCGAGGACAAACTGTCAATTCTGAACCTTACATTGAAACACTGAAACGACTGAAAGGGAGTCAGACCATATTTGAATATAGTTAGAGTGTTTTTTGGGGTTTTTTCACTATGGCAGTGCCCGTCTGCATTCGAGTACCAGAACAAGGGAGACAATCAGCCCGTTTTTGTGGAAAACATTGCCACACCCAGCTTATTCTCCTGATTTGACTCCTTCAGACTTCCACGTTTTCGGTCCTTGACAAAAGAACCGTTGAGAGGTCCTCACTATAAAACGATGGAGAGATCAAGCTGCTGTACCTGCTCAATTTTACGATTCTAGCATATGTGGACTTAATAAAAGGTGGACAGTGGCTATTGAACGAAGTCGAGACTTTGTTGAGAAATAAAAATTTGATCCTCAGATGCTCCTCTTCAATTAGAGGTATGAAGGGTTGCAAGTGTGTTCTTTTTTCTTTAAGTTGTAAACGAACTTGCATTGCTTTTTGACTCACCCTCGTATAATTATACACTCGCACATTTTTTTTATATGTATTAGAGTTTATTTGGTATGTGTTTATTTTGGGGGGGACAATGGGGATCACGCCGGTTGGGACAGTTATAATCAAACGCCCCGCGTGGAAATAAATGTGAGGCGTGCTGACAAAATGAGTTACTTCTCACAATCCATAAATGGAGATATTTGCCAAAAATCGACACTAGGGTCAAATT